AGTATTTTCGCTCACAGGGGTAGGTATATCTCCCTAGAGATAATCTGTCTCTTATACACATCTAGATGTGTATAAGAGACAGACATTACACTAGTGTTCGATTTAAAAAATAAATAAATAAAATTAGATTTTAGGCAATTGATTTAAAAGCGGCTCTTTTAATAATTTTGCATATTATAGTCAAGAACCGAGTCAAGATTAGATGGTAGGCGTGATTCAGCAAATGGTGCAGTGAGCACAATAGTCTTTGACATGAGTACGTTACATTAGTTGGAGAATTATGAAAGTATTATAATCACGTAACATTAGAACCTTCATTCAGTCTGTTTCTGGTATATTAACATTACTGACAGTAAATGTTTTGTTTTATCGTGAACTTTGAAATATTTATTAAGTTATTTAAGAAAAATGAATTGTTTTTAGGGCTATGATATTGCATGACTGATGATGGTATGGGCATAATTTAAGTCCTAGCTTTGCAGCATGCATCGAGCGGAGTTTCTTTATAGCTTACATATAGCGGAGTTTTAATAAATTTTAATTGAACGAATGTTTAGTATTGTATTTGCAGACTGACAGTAAATGTTATCACTTCAATATATCAAATCAATCACCTGTTATTTTTGATTAATTGATACACGCTCGCCTATGGCTCTGGAGGTGGAGCAAGTATTCTCGGATAAGGACTATAAACCGTAGGCCCTGAGTACAAAATTGGCTCATGTGCACTATAAATAACCCAGTGCATCTCGAAACGAGTAGGGGGATACCCCGATGTACTTGTCCATCTCGCGATCCTGACGGGGGCCTTGCCCTCCCCTCCCCCACCCTCGCTGGCGCCACCATTTGTGGCAAGAAAATATTGGGGCCTTTTGAATATTAGTATTTTCGCTCACAGGGGTAGGTATATCTCCCTAGAGATAATTGTTAAGGCTGAAAAGACAACGTATAAATTAGGTCTATGTATAAATCATCAATTGGTCACCAGAAGTCCACAAACGTTACACAACTGGTCGAAGCTCCATAGTATCTGCCAAAGAATGTGTTTGTAGGATTTTGGTCTATTTGAGTTTTTTTTTTTAATCGTAATAAAATTTTACCGTATTGTTAAGGCGTTGCAGTAGAGTGCTGGGAAGTAGTAAGAGGGGCATCGTGGCCTCACCGGGGCCCATTTGGGCTGTGACTGTGCCCCAGAAGGCACATGCGTTTCGCCACTGTTAAAGCCAGGTAGTAAAGTGCTATGTATTTGGTGAATCGAATGGTCCAGCGGTTAGCAGGGCACCGCAAGCTGCTATAGCCATAATATCAGCACTGGTTCGAACGGCACGCTCGCCTATGGTTCTGGTGGTAGAACAAGTCTTCTCGGATAAGGACTATAAACCGTATGCCCAGTGTATACAATGGCTCGTGTGCACTCCAAAGAACCCAGTACATTCTTCGAGACGATTAGGGGGATACCCCGGTGTACTGGAACAGACAGCCCCTGTGGTGGACGACGAGAGTTGCTGGTACCGGGTTAACTGAAAGCACAGACATGAAGGAACCCTTAGTGGCGAAGAAAGTCATTGGTCGAGTTCCAAGTCCACATCAAGCGCCCTGCCTGAGCATCTTATATTAGATGAATATGTGCGCTATATAAAACTACACTATTATTATTATTACTATGAAGTAGTAGAAAGGTCCCGGGGCCCCTAGTTTGATCGTAAACCATAGTTTTAATATCAGGGCTATAGATTATATGGATAAAAAAACTTAACTTACAACGTTTTAAGAAAGATTTCTCATTTTGAAGAGGATTGAAGAGTGACTAGAAATAATTGATCAAGTAGGCCTAGAGGCATACTGAATGATGTAACGTATAACGAACAGATAATACCGGTACTAAAACTTTCTATTGGTTCACTAATTTAACTCCTGTTATAGTCACATATATAGTAAGAAATATATACCTTCTAGAGTTTTCGTTATTTCGTTCGAGAATTGAATCCACCGAGAAAATTTCTCTTTCGCGAACAAAACAACCAAGCCAACAACGCACTTTAGTATCATCTTGGATTATGTGACTGAAACCCGGTCCCACACCTGGGCCTCGTCTCAGGACCCCGACGGGGGCATTGGCGTGGCGGCCCCATTCCCCCACCCCCAGCCCAGCTGGTGTAGTCACGCACTTCAAATCTCTTCGGTTAGGTAGATATGCAGTGGGTAATTAATTTTTACGTCATGTATTAATAATAATTTCTGATAGTTAAAATGAAGACAAAATAAAAGCAAAATTACTGATTCAATCAGACAGATTGAGAAGAAGACTGAATTTATCATATGCAACAATTTAAGAATTTATTTAATCAAAGAATTTTCAATCATTTGATTAATTAACCCAATTTGATTAATTAACCCAATTTGATTAATTAACCCAATGGCATAGACTTTGTTTACCACCTAATGGTTATTATTACTATATATCACAAAAGTATTTAGCTCACAATTAAACGTAGTTAAATGAGTAGCAATGGCAAGTGACCGATCTTACAAGTAAATAAACTAAACGTGGGAGAGACTCTAAAAAAAGATGATTTATATTTAAACAAATCGAAATCGCAAATGAAAGAATTTAATTCGAATTTAATAAAGTCAAATAATAATACAAAACCATAAACGTAATTCAATCGTGTATTGATCAATATAATCAAAACTTCGAACTAACAAATTGAAGTAGGGTTAAAATGTCAATCAAAACCAAGTAAATATGTTGATGCTGTCTAATATACATGCGTGTGAAAGAATTAGGTGTTCCAATCTGATTTATTCCCAAAAAAGTCTCAATGGCCTAGTTGGTTTAGGCGTCTACATAGACTGCAGAATGTCCCGGGTTCGAATCCCGGCAGTGATGCACCTATTTTTTTCATACTCTCACTAAGGACTTGCATACCTCTTCTTTAACGGTTTAAAATGCATTTATACATTTACAGCATTACCGCAAGATGTTATGGAGTTTATCTCTATCATATCATATTATATATATATGCATGTATATGTATATGTATATATATATATATATATATATATATATATATATATATATATATATATGTATGTATATATTATATAAATGATAGGAACCGTCTGTGAAGGGTGCAATACTATATAAATAATTACTATCAAATACTACTATACAAAATACACAAGTACTATAAACTCATCATACATGTGGTTCTATAAAATTTACTGAAATATATTTATACAGTATTTTATTTAAATCTAATGCACAAGTACCATCTTAAGTTTTTAAAATGTTCAGTTGAGTGTCTGATCTAAGTAATCTCTAATAAATGGCCGGTACTAAATGTTGACTTCTCTAAAGATATGATGCATTAAGTTTTAATGTTTATTTAAAGTGTTTTAGAGTTGATTACTGTATGCTTTTACTGATAAAATATTTCTTTGTAGCCAAGCATCAAGTCATGGCTTCTTTCCCCAATATGTCCCCACAATGAACGTCAACGTCCTACAAACACTATCGATATTCAATATATATAAACACAACATTGTCTTTATATTATTTCAATGCCTGTACAAAACTGAACAATCAATTATATAAATTAGAAGTAGTCTTTAATTGAACGGGAAGGGCAAATGTGTTTTTTTTTTTAGATTTCTCTACTTATTAAAGACACCTAAGATAGAGGCCTAATACATTAAATGTTTTAGAATGGATGTATAGTTATAGTACTTCATATTGTTACCTATTCTTAATTAAACCATTTTCGGAAAGCTCAAGTCCTATACTCAATTTTCCATTAAATATTACTAACATCACCACTAAATTTACCGTTATTCAATACACACAAAACACTAAACAAACACAAAATATCATCTTATAATGTGCATTGGCTAAAATTTTTTTAATGTTTGAAGTTACGGTTATATACGTTTATTATAGAATTGTATTAGCATTACTTTGTTTATAATTGTATTTAATTGAATGTAACATTTTAGTTGGATCCGCAAAAACTATCGTCTTTGGTCTCAAATAGAGTGAATCATTTGAAAGGTACACATAAAATGAATTCAATCAAAGCCGCAGAAAAGTGGTCATTTAAATGGAGGAGGTATTTAATTGGATGTAACGCATTGTACTTACTATTTGAGGTAAATAGTATAAGAAACAAATTTTCTTTATTCAAGAAGGCCTAAATGCAAAATTATTGTTTGACGCTCTAAATAATGACTCCAATATTATGTCATCCATTGTAGGTATTTGTTCCTCGAGGTCTCTTGTTATTCTTCGTATCTCCTCTGCTGCTGCGTCAGGCGACCCGGCTAGAATTTCACTGAAGCGTTGATAAATGTTTGCAATATCTGCAACCATAACTAATACGCGAATCGCAACTTCAGCTTTTCCAGGTGGCGTTGTCTCTCCAGGTGGTTGTGTCTGCTTAGGTGTTTTTCCTCCTCCAAATAATCCACGTGATTCTGTTGTTAAATAATAAACACTGATCTGGTAACTTTCTATAAATGTTTTAAAATATTCTTATTACACCACTGAGATTCCTTATGTATAATATATTTCTGTATCCTTCTGCTTGTCTCTATGACTGTCTTGTTTTTTCCCTTTGATCAGGATTATAAAAATGAAACTAATGAATGGATCATCACATTTCCTCGTCGAGTAGCAGTATTTAGTCAGTATACATAGGTACATAAAAAATCATCGCCTTAGTAAGGAAAATTAAAGAAAAGTCTTACCAATACGTGAGAACAGACCAGAAATTACTTTTCCATAGGTGATGCACTGTGTTATGGCGGTTTTCACTGTAAATACAAAAATGGAAAGACAGGTATGTTTGTATTCATATGTGCATTTTTGTTTGTTAAAAAATATAAGATTACCTCTATTATTGTTATTGTTCAGGTTTGCTATTGTCGTCGTAACGATGCTCCAACCCGCTATAAAAATAGGTTAAACACAATAGATGGTATTTTATTTCAAACAGCACAAAACGGTATGTTCATATTTATAAAGGTTACATACAACATACATCACTAAACACACCAGAATTTTCTTAGAAGGAAAACATCTTTTAACAAATATTGATGATAAAATAATATCTGTAGTGCACGCCAATGTCTATAGAGTTGTGGGGTGGGGGTGATGTTCAACCGAAACGCATGGCGTCTTTTAATTCCTATATTTACTTAAAACGAAGTTGATAATAACACGTCTTCAACATCACCAGAGTTACAGAGGCGGCACAAGTTCGCGTGGCTTTTCAGGGAAAAGCATATCTTCCTTTTTCATTTTTAAGATGACGATTCTAAGTTTACATAAGAAAGATCACATTGATTGTTTAAAAGATGGTAGGTAGGGTTTTAGTGCCGTAAATATGCAATGCATTCTTAATTTAGATTGTTTTTGTATATTTACAAACCACGGTTTATCATGGTTCGAGCTTATTTACATTGACTGTGCTATGGAGTTTGCACTTTTTATAACCATTGGAGACTGCCAAAAGTGGCTTAAATTTGTTAACTTAAGTAAAGTATTTATATAACCAGGGCCGTCGGAAGCGCACCGGCTATGACCGGACCACTTTTTCTCAATTCCATTACTTTCTGAAATAAATATATAATGATATTATGAACTATATGAATATACGCATCGCTTTTTCAAGCATGGTACGATGGAAATAGTGGAAGTGGGCAAGATATTGTACCCTCTTGCCCACTTCCACTAACTTTCAATCTTGTATCTGTCCCTGCATGGGGTTGGAATCGGGATAGTTGCTTTGAAGCACATTTTCAAAATTTACAGGTATGAATTTATACACCAACTTTATCCCTTGAGGGAGCGGGGGATTGCCAGGTGAGATTTTTGGGCATCCACAATTTATACTTTTAGACCACAATAAAAGGGAATGGCAATCGCAACTTGATTGGATTTAAAGATTAGTTTAGTCTCACGACCTCGTCGTGACGTCAGACGAAAGATGGTGGGGGATGTCCAGGTTTGTAAAGGGGTGTGGTGCTCAACAAGATGAAAAGCAACGATAAATAGATTAAATCCAAACATTTTTATTGATATATACATTACTACGAGAACAAACAACTTTTGGTTCAGGGCTTTCTAGTCCCTGGATGTCAATCTGAGGATCGCTTGCTTTCTGAAAGTATTAGACCTACTAGGCCTATTATAAGACTAAAAATAGCATAGCGACCTAAATTAGACTCTACCAAATCAAAACTGCCGAGTGGGCTTTCATCCCTGCACCCTGACCGGGGGATTTTTTTCGGTTTGATTCCAGATTGAACTCACTTCACTTTAATCTGCATTAGTATCTCCATCACTCTCAAGTGACATGCCAACACCTACATCAACATCATTACCGTTCATCATCATCGTCAACATCGTCGACATCATTATTTTCATCGTAGTCATTATCACCATCATCATAACCGTCATTGTTATCATCATGCCCTCATCATAATTATGATCATCATTAATTCACATTTTTTCTGGGCATCAAGGTAAACAAGGTTTAAAGATGTATTGGCTCTTGAAAATGACAAAAAAAAAATCATAATTTTGAAATTAATTTGTTCATTTTTCAGTAGCATACATATTTTCTAACTTGAGCAAAGAAATTATTGAATTTTAAAAATGTGTACCCTGATTTTTAAACTGGATAATTATAATAAAAATAATAAAACACTTTCATTGACTGGAAGTTTTTCTATAATTTTCTTTGTAAATGACAGGTAAACTTTTTTTAAATACACTAATGTTTATGTTCAAGTTGATAATTTTTATGTTACTTAAAAATGGGCAAGTTAATTTCAAAAATGATTCAGTGGCATTGTGCCCCTCTCCACTCACTAACTGGATCACCCTAATGTTAGTACTGTACTCTATTATTTATTTATTACCACGGTAGATCTCTCCATGGAAGTATTACGTGTATGGTCTGTCTGCATGAATATAACGAAGGTTTACTAAAATTAATGTGTAATCGGTATAAGGCCTACCAGAAGCAAACACAGCACTTAACTTATTATTTTCTTTTTTTACAATTCTAGTGATAAATAACTTATTATGTTCCAGGCTGAACTTTGCAAGAAAATGTAATTAAAATTGTACGAGCAGTATGTTGGCTGCATGTCTATTTGTGTGGCTAATAGTATCCTGTGTTTTATTTATTGCATATTGTGTATATTATTTCATAGCTGAATACCCTCCACATCGTGTAAATACAATTACAGTGTGTTATAGTCATTTTTAGTTTATGTACTATATATATATGTATTCACGTTTCTTGCTCTTCTGGAGGAATAAGCAACTCAATCTATCTACTAATGGCAGTGATAAGAAGTTAAATTTTTAACAATATTATTTCCTACAGCTTTACCAGCTGCTATTTCATGGCATCCAGAGGTGCCATATTTCCAAAATAGACCTTCATCCATGCTAACTTTATATATTGTGGCTGCCCCTTGAGGGGAAGGGATAGCGGCTCTATGTTGCCAGCATCTATTTCCGGACATTCATAGGTGCCAAACAAGTTGTTTACCAACCATGGTGGGGCTAGAGTTGATATGATAATTATGCTCTCAGACCTCAACTATCTTCAAAATCCTGTAGCTGTGGATAGAGATAGCAGGTCTCCACTCTTCATTTAATACCAAATTTGTCAAGAGCTCATACCACTCCCCTCCCACCACCCCTCACTATAATGGCCGGACCACTTGCACAATGCTTCCGACGGCTATGTTATAACCGTACTGTAGACTTAGCATTTGATTGCGTATAACCTTCTATCATCACATGAAGGCTTAATCATGAACGCTCTAGATCCTTTATAGGTATTAAACCTTTTAAGCTGGTGACCAGTTTCAATATGTTGAGACCAGCGGCGAGCCGACATGCATTTTGTAATTTCATTTTTTTAATGTCAATGTCAGCTTCACACAGTGGCGTAGAAAAATATTTTTCATTGGGGGGGATGATTGGCGTGTTAGCCAGTGTCGTAACAGGCGCGGG